TATATATATATATATATATATATATATATATATATATATATATATATATATATATATATATATATATATACTTTTTATCTATTTAATCCTTATATAATAATTATTATTATTTCTATTATATTCATAAATTGCGCTTAGCTTAACAAATATTCAAATTTTATTTTATAATATATTTGTAAACGGCCCTTAGAATTAGGTTGAATATCACTAATTAATTTATAAGAATGTTTTACATTAAAATTAAATATTTTTCAAGTCTGCAATATTTGAATCACAAAATCAAAAAATCGTAAAATACATCATTCCACGTCAACCACAAAACAAATTTTGATATTATTTCGTGATTTATAGAATTTTAAAAAAATTTATCCATTTTATATTTTTCACGTAGTCAGTGATTCGTCAACATTTTCTAACTGCCTTCGTACCTCCTTGGCACGAGTAAGTTTAGAGCATGACTCTAATACCATCTCCACAATTGTATGATATTGTCCACATTGAGCATAAACTCTCATGGCTTTGCTTTGGGAAGCTCCCCAAAAGACCTCAGACCAATAGAGAGTATATTCTTCTATTATAAATCCATGATTGTTCCCTAACTTAACCAATGTGGGACATTTTCATCTAACATATGTGTGTATATATATTTTTAATTTACTAATTTATTTGACTAAAATTAAAAGTTACATATATTTATAGATGTGGCATCATCCATGTGGGCTTTGGGCTTTAGAATTGAATCAAAAGCGGAGAGATAGAGATCAACCGCCCAAAGGGAGAGGGGACAGAGCCGATAATGGCGAAAGAGAGATCTGCATCTTCCTGGAAACTCGAATCCTTGACAAAATTGGTGTCAGATTTATTGCGAAATTACAGATCGCCTAAGTTTCTAAAAGTCCTTCATATAATTGGCGCATTGACTTCTAACCTGGTGGTCGTCAGTCCACTCAGTGCGGAAAATTCAAGTAATTACTCTTGAAACCACTCATTTCCTCTCAATTTCCCCGAAATAAACCCTAATTCGTTTGATTTCATTATGCTTTCTTTTTCCTCTTTTGACAGTTAAATGTAATTGTTTAATTGGATGTGGGGACAATGAGATTAGCTCTGTCCATTTCATTCACATTTGAATGCTCCTCAACTCCGTGAGAATGTAATTTTTTGTCTCACTTTCAAACATCTTTGTGTTTTTCTGTCGTCGCTTGTCATTTTCATGTGGGTTGCGCCGTTCTCGAGGGAATGGGTGCACCCATTCATGTTCTAAGTATAGTCTTTTCAATCTTCTCTGAATTTTCCCATAACTTCGAAGGTAGTTTCAGCTTTTTGAAGTCTAATGGCTGAAATGGTGTGAACTTTCTCTGTTACTTCTATGCTTCTTCTAGTTCAATCGGCCATGTTCATTGATTTCTCTTCAATTTCATTGAACACGTATAGGGCGGTGGTTGATATAATTTTTTAATTGTTTCTTCTATATGACAAAGGACAGGGCAGTTTATTTAGTTATCTGAAACTCAGAGAATTTCTACCAACTTTCCATGACAAAATCTTGGTAATGTCAGGCTCCCTCGAGAATTGTGGTTGCTGATCTCAATATTTATTTTACAATATAAAATTGACTTCAACCATTTACGCGTTTCTTATGTAGTTTAATGGAAGCTTCCTCTTCCCTTCCGAGTACAATTGATTCTCAATAGCCCTTTCTATATAAATATTGATCATGAGTGTAATTCGTTAGAGATGTTGTTTATTTTGAGTTAATTTGATGGTACAGAAGAGGCCTTTTCATGACTTCCATGGTGACGGTTTTGGAACTCCGAATAAAGAGCCAAAACGAATCAATATTTTCCAGAAGTGAGTGTATAGTTAGTCCAAGAACATTGGTACATTGATTTTCTGTTTTCTTACATTTGGTTTTCATTTGTGTTGCTGCAGAGCTGTTGGGGAGGCTAGCCTGCTTGCTTTTCTCGAACCTCTGATTCGGAAAGCGGTAAGACGAGTCTCTTATGTTTAGATGAACAAATTAATTTGATTTTAGAATTTACTTTGGCTACCTTGTTTCATTATAGCTTTGCTTTTTAGTTTAACAATTAGAATTGTGGTCGTTGTAGATAAAGGAAATTACCCTGGTGCCTTTGGAAAACACGAGCTTTTTTTTTTTTTTTTTGGCTACTGATCTTTGTGCTCTTTCTCTAGTCTCTCTGTTTTCCTTTTTTGTATCCTATCAAGAAAGATCCAATGGAGTTTTGAAGAGTTTCAAAAGAAAAACTTCGCTTGAATACTCGAGATAATGTAGGAAGTTACACCAAGTTTCGGGTCACCTAGTCTCCAATCACTTTTAAGTTTAAAATTCAAATTGTGGGTAACTAATAAACGCTATATAACGAAGCTAAATATAGGGACATGTGGCTAACATTGACATGCTCTGATGTTTAGATGAGCCGCAGCCATAGTGAGCAAACATTTGATTCCTTCTTCTTCTTCTTTTGTTTTATGATTACTTTTTTTTTCCCCTCTATTTTTAATTCTTTAGACGAGGAAACATGAAAGAATAACTTTGATTTCAGACATTTGATATTCTATTTTATGTTTTCTGTATGTTTGGTTATTAGGTAAGAGAAGAGACAGAATGTGCTATTTCCAAGCTTTTCCCCTCATCTTCAAGGTACGTACGTACTTTTGAACTTTTGTGAACTGCGCTCCTTTTAAGGCTTTTGTCCTGTAAGTTTGACTGCCATCGAGTTTAGGATAGCTGTTTTGATTTTTTGTCCATACGAATGACCTATTAATTGGTAAAATTTGTTCGTTGACCGGCATTTTTAAAAATATGATAATTCACTCATCATTATGTTTTCCTTTTTCTTTGTATTCCATTTGATTTTAGCTTCCTCTTGGTTCTCCAGCAGCTCAGTTAGTGAAGCTGAAACAACAACAGTAGGTTGTAATCTGCAGCTGCTGTTCGAAAGCAAACTGCCAGACCGAATATTCACAAATAATCCCCTGAAAGCTGATGATGGCAAACCATTGAAAATTCTACTATATGATGCCAATTCGAAGACTATAGTGCAATCTGGTCCACTATCATCAGCGGAGGTCGATTTTGTTGTCATCAATGGACTATTTTCCAGTGATAGAGAGGATTGGACTGAGGAGGATTTCAATTCTAAAATTTTAAGTGAAAGGGAAGGTAAAAGACCTCTCTTAGCAGGACATCAGAGTATCATCTTGAAAAACGGGGTTGGATTTATCGGTGATCTTAGTATCACTGATAATTCCAGCTGGATACCAAACAAGATGTTCATATTGGGAGCTAAAATTTCACCCAAAAATTATGGAGGACAAAGAGTTAGGCCAGCCAGAAGCTATCCTTTTTCTGTCAAGGACGGCCGTGGAGAGGGTAAGTTGTGATAACTCAAACGTTTAGAACAAACACCCCTCTTTTGCGCCTTGTTGACCTTTTGACCTTCATTTTCTGGGTACCAGATTCTAATAATTGATGATCTTGTTTTACAGCTTAAAGCTTTGAACTGATTAGTTACTTTTTAGGGTATATGAAGCATTATCCTCCAAGGTTGCAAGACGAAGTGTGGCGTTTGGAGAAAATACGAAAAGATGGTAAATTCCATGAGCAGCTTACTTTGCACGGAATTCACTGTGTCAAAGACTTTCTCCTTTTGAATGAAACGAATCAACCGAAGTTACGCCATGTAAGATAATTGCTTTGTTTGTGTATTGTGTAATTCTACATCGTTTATGTTTAGTTGTTGTACCTTTTTCCTTCAACTCTAGGAAGAATAATCTTTTAACTCAATACTTTTTTTTTTCGCCGATGACATTGCAGATACTTGACCGAATGTCGGATAAGATATGGAGAAAAGTTTTGGATCATGCAAAAACTTGCACTATGGACGATTGCACGGTTTCTAGATTCCCAAATGGATGGCATGGGGTAATTAATCTGTTCAACTCCATCTCAAAAGTTGTCATATTTCTATGTTTAGTAAACTATGATTTTGTTTTCTGTATTGAAGGAGAAAATGAAACAAATGGGGGAAAAAGGAATCATGATCTTTGTCATCTTAAAGTTATTCTTCCCTCATCTAATAGAAATTTCTGGTCTGAAACTTAGTAGCTGTCATTTTCATTTGCAGGCATGGATTGAAGATCTGAATAAGCCAATACATCTGAACAGATTTGATGAGCAGCGGAGCCCGAAACTGCCATTGACCTACCCACAAGCTGGTCCTTCCAATTCTCCCTATCCAGGAATGCAATCATTGGGGCCTAGCATCGTACATTCACAAGGTATAAAAACTGTTCATGATCGATATAATACAACATATTCGTTGTTCTTTCGGTGTTCGATTTGATGATCATCCTACCCTTCACAAGTAATGTATACAACCAAATTGCATGTTTCTTCAGAAAATTTACTGCCTCCTATGCTTAAGTAGCTCTTGTTTTCGTGTTGACGCCTTCAAATTCACTTTTCTGAGGCGGCTGATTTTTGGAAGGTAAATGATAAGCCAACAGGGTTAAAAGCCTTTAGTTGAAGCGGTTCTATATGCTTCTTTCCTGCTATTTTTTTTTCTCTGTGCTTGAACCATCGGTTTGATCGGTTAGATCGGTTCGGTTCTTTAAGGTTCCCAGTTGGCTTCTTTCGTTTCTTTATTGGTTGATCGAACGCGTTAAATCTGAAACGTAAATCATAACTTGAGTTCAAATACCTTCCTTTACATGTCTCTGAGGCAAAGTAATTCTATGTTCTTAGCAGAGAACCTGCAAATTGGTGCTCCAAATAATTTCAACAGTGAAGAAGATGGAGCACAGTCTTTAATTTTCCAAATCCATAGCAATCTCACAGACCAAGCTTTTCCTCCATCACTGCAGCCTAATTACTCTGTAGATGACTCTACCTTTCTCCCACAAACTCCAGTTTACTTCCCTCTACCGACAAGCGAGCACGGAGACAATTTGCTTCCTTCTCCGAGCTATGCAGCGGACGCCGGGGGGTGTAGCATTTTCCCTTATCTGGATCACGGCGCAGATATCTTAAATGGAGCAGATTAAGTTTCAAGCTGTTACATGAGAGTATATTGTGAAGCTATGCCGATTCAGATACCGTCTCACCTTGCTCGATTCTAAAAGCGCCGAGCAACTTCCTTTGTAGTCTTAGTGTCAAGGTACTGCACACCCAAAGAGGAAAGCATCAGCTAAATTTGCAGGTCCTAATCTATTTGGTTAAGCCTTTTTTTTTTTTTTTTTGGTAGATAGTCCTCTCGTGTTTTCCTGTAGAGTATTTTTTCTTTCCCTTGGGGCTAATGTGCAGCAAAAGAGTCCTTTGCTTTCCTCATTTTATCTTTTTTGTTTCATCTCTACAAGTTGAAATTGATGTAACTTACAATCAATTTGAAAGGAAAATATTTTTCTTTCCAATCAACTTCTCGAAGAATACATGTCCTTATATCAAGCAGCCTTATTGGGCGAGGGCTCGGGTCGCTACGCAGTGACACGACAACGCTCTTGATTCAACTTATTTGGCATTATGGAGGACTAGCGTTTTTTAAGACTATCAAGATTAATCGGGTTCGATGATTACTAAAGGGAAATAAAGCAAAGGTAATGAAATTAAACATCTGTTTTATTGATTTGTAAATAGTTATTGTTTATTCAATGCTCCGTCTCAAGAACTCTTCGGCTAAATGTTATATATTTTTTATTATTATAGCAATGTGTGGTTGAAAATTAATTATAATTATTGAAATTTGAATTTTTATAAATTAGAGTTAACATTAAAAAAATATAATTATTTTTTTATATCGAGTTATATCGAAAAAAATAATTATTGTTATTGTTAATAGTTGAAAATAAGTTTTAAAAAATGAAATAATTAAAAAAGATCCAACTGATTCTAACAAATAAATGAAATTTATCGTATAAAAATTGAAATATGTGGTGGGGATAGCACGGCCAAGAAGGGTATGAGAGTAAATTCACAAGGTCTTGCTCTCATTCCCAAAGTGAGTGGCATGTGTAGTAAATAGTGTGAACTCAAGTGGTATATTGCTACGGCTAAAAATATCTAGCCTAAAGTATTCGATGGCTCTTGCCGGTGAGGAAAAATAAATAAGTAATAATATTAATAACAATCTCTGGAACTTTCCTTCTTCATATCAAGATATTTTCATCTTTTTCTACCGTCAACTCGCCCTTCGGAATAGACCACACACCAATCGTTGAAGAAACCGACGCAACGGAGCCTCTTCTTCTTTTTTTCTCCGTTTTTGAAGTCCACGGCGCTGTTATGGTGATCTGAAAGTTGTTTTTTGCTCCTTTTGTTTGGTGTGGTGGTTGTGTTTCGAGATTCTGCGGCTTCTCTTCTGTCTGATTCCGATTTTTCGATGGATCGGGGAGGAGGATCCGATGGCGGAGCTTGCTACTACACCATCCTCGGGATTCGTAAGGACGCCTCCTTCTCCGATGTTCGTACTGCCTACCGCAAGCTCGCTCTGGTACTGAATTCGGTTTTAGATTTAATTGTTTTGAAATTAGATTTTTCTAGGTTATTCTTTCTGTCTCAGATTTTTAGTCGGAATGAAATTTGGAGGAGTTTTGTTTTGTTCTGTTCTGTTTCTTCCGATTTGAGAGTGAATTTGTAAAATCCGAACTGTTTCTGTTCTCGTTTCTTTTGCGGTATAAGAAATGGCATCCGGACCGGTGTACGCGGAATCCTGCGGTGGCCGGAGAAGCCAAGCGGCAGTTTCAATTAGTACAAGAAGCGTATTCAGGTGAGATCATCGATTCTCCGCCCCTAATCACCGTCAATTTTGTAAACGCCGTTGAATTCCCCGTCAATGTTCATAGGTTAGGACACTAACGCGCGTTGATTGCCCATCTGCCTCCTCTCTCACAGTTCTCTCCGATCAGGCAAAGAGGTCCGTCTACGACGCCGGTCTATACGATCCAACGGAAGAAGACGATGAGGTTCGTATAGATTTTTTTAATTTTAGTGAGTACTATTCATTATTATTCCAATTAGATATTTTTGGCATGGCATGATTATTTTCCCGGAAAAGACGACGTCGTTTTCCTCATGCTCTAATTATAAACTTCCGTTATTATTTTTTTATCCACCTTTTTTCCTTTCGCCGTGTGATTATTCATTATTTCTCATTGCGTACAAAAGCTGTCATCCAATGGCGTCTCTCTAGAACTTCCCTTTTTGAGATTTTTTTTTTTTTTTTTTTTAAAAAAAAGATTCCGTCCATGTTAAAAATTATTCATTGTCACGTAGAAAATAAGGCTTCTTAACCCATAAAACTTCAACAAAAAAGAAAAATAAAGAAAAATGTGCTAGCTTATCTAGTCATATAATCCTTATAGACATGTTCCATTAACCTGGGGGACTCTGTTCTATAACCGGTGATTGAGTATGGAAAATTTTTTCCTACCCTGAAGATTATATTGTCATTCTCGATCCCCACCCAAATCTTCATCAAGATTAGATCAAGATTAATGAAGAATTTTGGGTGACAAAAATTGAAATAGTAGGCTAGAATAGGGATACTTGGGGAAAGATTTCTCTATGTCGTTCCCTAGACATCTTTAATCACTTCCTCTTTGAACACGGGGATGTGAAAAATATATCGGATTAGTTGATTAGAATTGAAATAAATCGGTTTGTGCTTGATCTTGGTTGATATATATATATATATACTCTTTTAATCCTCTTCTTTACATCCTAAAAAAAAATATTTTAATTTAAATATATATATGTATATAATAATAAAATCTTTGGAGCCTAAATAGTTTAAATTCGAATAATTGTGGTCTGAAATATTTCTACTTTAATGTGGTTTTAAATTTTTATAAACCAAATAATACTGAATTTTTCGCAATTATTTAAAAAAAAAAAAAAACTTTTTTTTGTTCTTTTTCTTTTTTGGGGAAAAATAATGGTCTCATTTCCGCTTGCGGTGCAGGAATTTTGCGACTTTATGCAAGAAATGATGACAATGATGACCAACGCCAAACCGGAGGTAATAGCATCCTGACCGTCCAATTTCGAAGCCAATTAATTTCAGCCATCGATTGTTCGTCGTCCACAAATATCTGAAATGCCTTTTTGGTTTTTTGGGTTTTTTTTTTTAATAGGGTGACAGCTTCGAGGATCTACAGAGGATGTTTATGGAAATGGTCGGTTCAGATGGCATGGGAGGGTTCCAAGTGAACGACAATCCAACGGCCTCAAAGAGGCCACGCCCTACTAACGGTTCCAGATCTAGTGCGCCCAAACGGAACTCCACCCGCTGCTAAAATTTTACAGTGACGAAAATCTCCCTGGCTGATTGTGGGTATATTTGATTGGGTTTGGGGGATTTGAAGGGTGTTTTAACTTTTCCTTTAATGTAATTTAGTGCAAGTTGGAGGGGCTTTTAAGTCTTTTCATTGCTAGGAAGTGTTTGGCTATTTTTTTTTTTTTCTTTTATTAATAATAAACTATTAGATCATCTCGCTTCTCTGATTGGTTTCCTCCATTTTCTACTTGTGTACGGCTTCTCATTTACTTGGAAATGAAAAGTGGGCTTTTCTTGATGGTTACAAATTTTAATAGTTTTCTTTTCTATTTTACATTTTTTTAAAGCCCAAATTAATAATAAAAAAAAAAAAATACATTTTTAAGGTGAAAAGTCCAAAATAGACATTTTGTGTTTTCTTTCTAAAATTTTTTATGTTTATATATGATTTATAAACTTAAATTTTTTGCAATTTTAGTACATCAATTTTTTAAATTTATTAATGGTAAAATATTTAGATATAAAGTATATGAACCTGACATTTTGGTGACGCTGTCTTCGAAGATTCAGACTACACCGCCCTTTTCAAGTACCAAAATCCGCTCGTACTAAGATAGTGTTGCTGTCAATACACCAAAGCTAAATGACTCAATGAAAATAAGGAGTATTTTTAAACCTTGTGTCGGCATGTTACAAATTTGAAGACTTTTCTAATAATTGCTTTTAAATTGACTTTTAAAAAATTAATTAACCTGAAATTTTAATTTTATAAAATTGTAATTAAAGTTAATAATTAGTGTCAATTCCGTAATAATTTCCCAATCGAAGTCGATTTACGAACCAGAGCACGCTCTTGAGCACGTCAATATAAATTCATGGGTAGGGTTCCCCAACGTTCACTACACTCTCTCTCCTTCTCTCTCTTCCACTGTGAAACTCAAAACTCGAAAAAAAAAAACAAAGTACAAAACTTCATACCAAATTCTTCCTCTCTTCTTCTCCGGCGATTCAAATCCCTCATTCCTTATTGGAACATCGTAGATTTCATCTACTAATCGGGGTTTGAGTTCGTCTCTCTGGTATTCAAACGATGTCGCTGAGACCGAACGAGAGGGCTGAGGTTCGGCGGAACCGGTACAAGGTTGCGGTGGATGCCGATGAAGGTCGGAGAAGAAGGGAGGACAATATGGTTGAGATTCGGAAGAATCGCAGAGAGGAGAGCCTGCAGAAGAAGAGGCGCGAGGGTCTTCAAGCCCAGCAACTGCAAACTTCCACTCACTCATCGTTAGTGGAAAAGAAGGTCAATATTAAACGAGTTTAGTTTGTAATTGTGTTGTTCATTTCTGGATTTCCTTTTTTTTGTTCCCTTGCTTTGGGGGGAGAATTGCGATGTCGTGATTTTGCTGTTGAAGTTTGATTTTGGTGGCTGTTTAGGGTTTGTCGTTGTGAGCTCGGCGATCAGGTTTTATTGAGTTTGTTTTTTTTTTAGCTAAATGAATTTTTTCTGTTAGGGATTTTGATTCTGCTGAATTCATTTTTGTGGAATTTGTGTAAGATCAGGTTGGTAGAGTCTTCATTTCGAATTTTGGGGATGTGGGATTATGTCGTGTCTATTAAAGCTGTTGGTTGCCACTTACTTGTTGGGGAAATCGCTCATTTCAATTCGACGCTGAGTTTTTAGGCTTGTTTGACTTCGTTTTTAAATAGCATTTGATTCGATCTTTATTTTACTGACATTGATTTTGCATTCTGAAAGTCAGGTCCTTGGAGTATTTGAAATCGACTTAACTTCTGTTGCTGAATGTAGTTGAAGTGAATTATTCTTACCCAAACCATGCGATAGTTTTTGTTTTTGTTATTTTAATTCAAAGTCAACTTCGGTCAAGTTTGACAAATTTTTGTCCTGAGAAGATTCCCTTTGTTTTTCTTTTTTCTCGTCAGTGGACTGATTAGGCAGAATCAGTTCGAATTTAAACTTTGAGTGAGAACTTTCATTACTGGAAATTCACGTTTGTTAATGTGGAAATGTTTTAACTGCAGTTGGAGCATCTTCCGTCCATGGTTGCGGGTGTTTGGTCTGATGATGGTAGTCTGCAACTCGAATCGACTACTCAGTTTAGGAAACTGCTATCCATTGGTCGGTAATGTTTTAATATTGAACATCGATATGTTTGTATTTGGATGGTTCGTAACCTTAAAACATTTCTTCTTCAGAGCATAGTCCCCCAATTGAACAAGTTATACAGGCAGGAGTTGTTCCTCGCTTTGTTGAATTTCTAATGAGAGAGGATTTTCCACAGCTTCAGGTTTGATACAGAGATTATATTATATACTATTGCAGGATTTGAAAGACGTGACAAAGTGATAAAGGCTTGTTACATTAATATTTTATGTAGTTTGAAGCTGCTTGGGCTCTTACAAATATTGCTTCGGGAACATCAGAAAACACTAAGGTGGTCATTGATCATGGTGCTGTGCCAATATTTGTGAAACTTCTTGGTTCTCCAAGTGATGATGTCCGTGAGCAGGTAAGCTTTTTGAGTTTCTTTACATGGGCATGCCTATGGGGCCTTTTCCCCACTCCTGAAATTATTATATACTTCCCCTCCTTTATTCTAGATCAATATGTCTCCTCCTCTTCCATCAGAACAAGTTGCATCAGTTTTATTTAATTCTCATGTAATGGAGAGGAAATACATTCATACTTCCTGTGCTAAGTTGATTTGTTAGTGTTGTTGGAAAAGCAAACATTTGTTACGTGGAATGTTTAATTAATTTCTCCTTCCATCTGTAGGCTGTTTGGGCTTTAGGAAATGTTGCTGGGGATTCTTCAAGATGTCGTGACCTGGTTCTTGGTCATGGAGCATTGCCTCCTTTATTAGCACAGTTGAACGAGCAAGCTAAGCTTTCTATGCTGAGGAATGCTACCTGGACGCTATCCAATTTTTGCAGGGGCAAACCACAGCCTGCTTTTGAACTGGTGGATAACTTTTCGAAGATTTTGAGATTTGAAAGAGATAATGTGCTAGTAATTAGGTTTTGGATAAATCTAGTACCCCCCCCCCCCCCCCCCCCCCCCCC